TGCCCGCCGCCGTGGGTGTGACTCGAGGTCTCCAAAATCCTCTGCGGGCCTTAAGCGCAAGCGAGAGCGACGTTACGTTAACTGGAACTGGAGATGATTCCTGCCTTGCTCCAGGGCAATGGAGAACATTCCAGCACTGACAACGAAGCGCTGCGGGCGCCTCCAGCCCGGAGCCCCTCTCTACTCGCACACTACTCAGCCTTGTACTTACTGGGGTGCCGGTTGGTGCAGGACCCTCCTGGCCAAGCCCCTGAGCCTGTTCCTCAGGACCCCGGGTGACAAGAATGCGGAAGTGCTTCTGCTCTGGTCTGATTTTGAAGAGACATCCCTGCGGAAGCCGCTCCTTCGAGCTCTGAGAGGTGTCAGCGCCGGTGCTGAGCGCTTCCGAACTCAAGCCATCATCCACGGGCTTCCCGTCTCCTGCCGGAGGTGCGATGGGGTGGGAGGTGCTCCTTTCCAGCCGGATCCGAGGGTACCGCACCAGCCTGTCCCCTTTTGTCCCAGTAAAGCCAAAGTTGCATTCACCTCCTGTGCCACCCGTGTGTGGCTGCTGTAACTGGAGCACAAAGAGCTTCTTCCCTGCGGTTGCTCCCATATCGGGCACATGCTGCAGGGACCAGCGCCGGGGTTCGGGAATGTTATTTCCAGCCTCAGGACCAAAGGGGAGTAGGGTAACCTGAGGCACGTCCGTGCTTGAAGCCCGATGCTGAATCCTCACACCGCTGATGTTTAAAGCCGAAGCTGCCTCATCTCCTTGGGAAGCTGCTGAAGCATCCTCGCTCTGCTGCTTGGGGGGAAGAGTCCGGAATACCCTGCGGTTACAGCAAACTGTTCCATTACTGCCTTGTCCCCCCGCTTCCGGCAGCCTGGGAGGGGAGTTTCCCGGAGTGCCCTCTGGAGAAGAGGGATGAGTTTCCACATGGGGCTTCCAAGGAAGCGTTTCCTCAGGAGATTCCTGAGGAGATTCCATGCAGCCGTTGGCAGCCGAGCGCTGGAGGGAGATCTGCATGGAGGAGCTCCTGGTTGGACGCGCATCCACGGTGCTCAGCAGCTGGGGGATGAACATGGATGTGCTCCTCTTGAGGGAGCCCACTTCCTGCACATCCCTCCCACCACCATCATCTGCCGCGTGGCGGGCCAAGGCGTGAGGGCTGCTTCTCCTGGGCAAAGTGTGGAATGCCATGAAGAAATCCTCTTCCCTCTCGCGGGCGAGGATCTCCGATTCGGGGGCCGTGTTGCTTCTCGCCGAGCCGAAGTGCAAGCGGAGGCG